TGTACTCACCAAAGTAATTGCTGAGTTCTGGAAACACGGCAACATTGCTACGGCGAAGTCTAATTGGACAACAAACCCGAGCGGTCACAGGTGTAGCCAGATAAATGCAGCCATTTTATTGGAAGGTAAATACAAAAGTAAGCACACCTGATAATTGACCTAACATGCCAGATAATCGACTCAATTAAAAATTGATTAATCGGTATATTGCTACTCAGCAATTAACTTGGAGAGTACAACGTTATTAGCAATATGGAGAAAGGCCAAAAACATGAGCCAAGTTTTAACAAACCAGAGTGATTCTTTAATAACATCAAGGTATTAACATTTTCTCTCTGCCTTTTCTCACCTCCCCCTCATACTCATGTTTCTTCTTCTTATTCATTCTTCTCTTTTTTTATTTACAGGCACACCATTCCCCATCCATGGTCAATCTGCCTTCCATGTTTGAGAGGAAGTACCACACATTCAGTCGCTCGACCACCCACCTCTTCTGAGATGCTGCTGTTCGGGAGGACCCACTGAGTTGACCCATCTTTCCACCTCTTTTGCCTCGGCTGCCGCTAACAGCAAGATCTGACCTAAAAGGTGAATGTGTATAAAGTTGAAGCTACCTATGGCAAACTAGTATTTGTCCATACTGGAGCTCTGCACAGACTTTCCAAACCCAGAAGAAATGACATTTTGACACATTTTGAAAGGAGCACTGTAGTTGGGGGACATACTTCAATCTGATATGTGGCAGTACCAGAGTTGTCCCGCTCACTAGCTGTCACTTGGGCCAAGTAGGTTTAAAACAATAAACCAATTGTTTATCAACCTGATGCCTACCATGTGATCTATTCAGCTCAAATGTCTGTGTTGCTGACAACTTGCAAGAAACATATAATACCTTTCTTCATCTGACTAGGCAGTTTGGTGTCTCTTTCCAAACGTGCACAATGCTTGAATTAAGACTAACTGGAACGGTACTGCGCCATGCTAGGGGCTACAGGTGTGTGATTACCACTGGTTCTGGTAAGGTTTGCCTTACCCTTAAAAAAAAATGAAGGATGCTCTGCTTTTTGTCTGCAATTGTTGATGGATTATCTTGACATAATAGTTGTTGTTTTTTTGTTAACATACTTTACCACACTTGTTACTTTTTGTGTTTATACATTGCCCATTCAGTTTCCTGGTTGGTTCCTGTTGTTGGCATTGTTCAGTGAAGTGTTAACACTAATTTTAGACCAAGTTAACATCATGTCTGTACTCTGGTTAAAATGGGGATTCATGCTGTCCCCAAAAGGATGCCAGTTTTATTTCTGTCGGGGACTTAAAATAACATTTAATTTTAGATGTTGAGGTATTTCTGTTTAACAAATGCAGGTTGTTAAGATGTTTGTTTGTTTTATGTACTAGTTATAGTTACCAGGTTGACCTCTTGTCCTTTTTCTGTGTTGTGGCTTTCTTTTTAATTAACTCTGTGAGAGACCCTTTTATATTAACTGACATTTAATATTTTATTGTAGTGGAGTACACTTAATTTCACCTGATATAAAAATAATATTACTTATAATTAAACCACGTTCAAAATGTAAACTTGTGATAGCTTCCAGCTTTTATAAAGCTTCTATTTTAACATTTAAGAGATTTGGTTGAGAAGAATAAAACCCTGATGCTCTTCTTCCCTGTCCCCCATCCACGTTTTCAAACCTCTTTTTGCTGTCTGTGTGTATGTTTAAGAAGGGATGCTGCATCAGTGTACATATTTATCCTTGATGAACACATTTTATACCTGTTTTCATTTTTCTCTTGCTATTTATATTTTCTCAGCTATTCTGTCTGTCACTTTTAATGCTGTTTTCATTGAGTTTAAATCGCCTCCTGTTGTTTCATCTCTCTATTAAATGCACTTAAACATGTACCCGATTATTCAAGCTTTCTTTTTTTTTTTTAGTTCTGTGTGTCGTTTAATTACCAGAACATTATATAGAAAGCAAAACATTCATTCCATTCATTTGTAGGGGCTGCTGACTAAATATACCAAATCAATAGTGTGAAAATAAATGTCCTGCAGTAAGGTTTGTCTGTGTCTCTGCTCAACAGACAGACAAAGTCAAACAAAACACACTAGAACTTAAAAAGTTATGGTAAAAGTTGTTCTTCATTCTTCCACACAGCTTTTATTTGTAATCTTGGATATAATTGATAATTTACCAATTAAACTGCTTCAGTGGGGCTTGAAATGGTTGATTTGTCAAATATTCTTGGAGCTTCTACTTGAGTTTGGGATTTTTGAAGGCCTGTTTTGGATTTGCATACTACTTTGAAGCGAGCTCATGATTGCTCCTTAGTACTCGTCTGTACTTCTTGCGCATTTGATGTAGGAGTTGGTTTAGAAGTTTCTGGATCCCGCTGGACAAAAAGTGCACTTTCCCAGTTTCCCTTCTCTTCATAAATCAAAACTGTTTTAAATTCACTTTTGAACCAACAGTCAGTTGGGTCTTTGAAGAAAGTAAACCCAGTCCAGAAATACTGACAAATGGCCAAAACTGGGTAACCAGCAGGTGTTTCTTTAAGCTTTTGATTGTGACAAGACCAGGGAGCTCCACAAAGATACCATGAGGAGTTTCTCTAATGCTGAGCTGTGACTGTATGTATGTTGTTTTTTGTTGTTTTTTGTCCAACCCTGTAACTACCCTGTTTGCTGGTTAATGTTGGGTGCTGGAGAGAGCGCACATACATCCAACAATATTAAAGGTATTAATAATAATAATAATAATATATAATATTATTTATACAAATTCATTCTTAACTATTATTTTACTCTGTAGTTAATTTCTCAGTGCTAACTTTCTATGCCATTGTCTTGTAACACTGGCACCCACACTCTACTTTCAGGTCTTTCATATTCATATTTTCAGTGTGGCTCAATCATGGTTCGCTGCATCTGTCACATTTTTCCATTCCACATGTTTTCTCTTGTTTGAGGTGCCGCTACTGAGCCCCACCCCCTAACCGTACACCTTTACAGTGCAACCTCAGTAATGAGCACCTCGATCTCACAGTCATGGACATCAAAGGGTAAATATGGTTATTTGAAAGAGCAGCTCACTGCTGTATCTTGTTAGGAGTGAAATCATTGCTGTGGTGATCTATATGTTAAATGTTTCAAGTCTGTTGCATTTGACCTGATGAATGTAGGTCTAATATCTCTCTCAGCTTTGTTTTTGGTCTCCACCAACTGCTGTGAAAATATCTGGCTCTTTAGCTGCTAACCAACTAGCAGGAAGCAGTATACAAACAAATGTTCTCTTATTTTAGTTTGTACCCACAATGTGTTTTTTTTATTAGTAGCCATTGATTTCTGGGATTCACTCATGTTTTTGCTTTTCTCTGAGGTAAGAAACTATTTGTGTCGAGAGCACTTACCAAGATAAGAACAAAACGTCTTGTTTTCACAATCCACAAATTGTTTGTGGACAGAAAATTTACTTTTTCGTTTGAGGAACATAACAAAAATGCATGAATACCATATAAGCAAATCTTGATATGTTTTAATGTAATTATGAAATGGATTATTCAATGAGTGGGCTGAAGAGATGCTATTGGTTAATTGATTCCAATAAAGACTAAAAACCCTGGAAGGATATTGCATGTGTTCCTGTAACTGCTCTTAAATGCTTTGGCCATCCAGGCCTTACGCAGAGAACATGTTTTTAGAGAATACACAGATATTTATGATGAGACGAATTAATGGCTGCGAAGACCTTTCAGATTGACAAGAGCTCTGCTTTTAGAATTTGGCACTACTTTGGGGCCTGTCAAATCCTGTACCTCCACACCTGCAAGTACTGCAGTTACTTTTGCTGTGCCTTCTACTACTGTGTAGTGTAAAAGCACTTTGAGTGGTTGGAAGACTAGAAAGGTGCATTTACCATTTACCTTCCTTTGCTGACACGTCATTTACAGCATCAGATGTTTTACTTTTGCTGGGTGTTTGATTTTACTTTAATGCCAGTACTTGATTATTTGGTGCATCTCTTATGTTTTCTTTTAACAGATAAGAGAAAATCTAACATAAATTTAAAGGAATGTTTTGTCCATGAAGGCCCATTGTCTACTGTTTGGTGCTGAGAAGGTCTCTGAAAACTGCTCCCTGTTGCGCCTGGAAACAGGGTGTCCATGGGGTCATAAAAAGTCTGAATATCATGCCTTAAATATGATAGGTCTTAAAAGTTTAAAAAGGACTAATGAAGATTAGATTAATTATGCTAACGTTACTTGTATAAAGTTGCATTTTTCACTCTCCTTTAAATGTGTTTTTGAAACAATTTGGATTGATCTTGCTGTAACGACTACAAAATGGAACCAAAACTGATTTTCCTTAATCATACCTTTTTTTTTTTTTTAACCAGCATGGATGTAAAATAGTTCTCAGCTTGCATTCAATGTGGTCTTAAAAAGTCTTAAGTTAAACCTATTAAACACTGCTGAAAGATGTTGCAAAGTAGATCCGAGGGGAACTGTAGAGTTGGAATGCTATTTCTCTTTGGGGTTGTCACTACTATGTACAATGTTAATCTGCAAGTAACTCATAACTACAGTCATCAGATAAATGTTGAGAAGTAAAATAGCATAAAATTAAAATAATTGTCTCAAAATTGTGTAAATTGGAAGCAAATGTCCAACAAGTCCAACAAGATATTTTTGAAGGGAGACTGAAGGATGAGTGCTGCCTTGATATTCATAAATAATATATAGAGGAGAAAAAAAGTGTTTTTCTGAACTGATACAACTAAAACAAGTCAAAATAAGTACAGCTGTAATTAAAAAGGTGCTACATTTCTGTAAAGCGAGTTCACAAACCTCCTGCACAGTCAGACCTTCACTGTGTGTCCTCTTGCCCTTAGTTTAACTATAATCACATTAGCTACTCCAGAGTCTGCTGCCTTCCTCACACTGAGTCAAGGTGTGTTTTGAATGGTGAGCCTTTAAATTTAGCCACATTAGGATTTATGTCACGGCAGCAGGCTGGGAAGAGAGGTGCTCCTGTTTTGTCCTTTTCACATGCAACCTCTTCAAAGCATTAGAAGATAATCTGTGTCTCCTGGATAAAGCGCAGAACGTGCCAGGCTGCCGGCTAGCGACTGGAGGTAGAGTGCCCATGCTGGCCCGAGGCAAAGCGAGACAGGGGAATAGCCACAGTGAAAAGGCACCTCTTTACGGAGGACACTCACTCTTTTCATATTTGCCTTTGCCTTTACTTCAAAGTGCCACTGACTGGCTGTTTAGGGTGACATGAAAAGGGAAATGGGCGAAAAGGAGGTAGGTAGGAGAGCTGGAGTGGCAGGAGTCTGCTGACTCCAAGGTACCATCATGAAGGACAAAGTCCAAAAACATGCAACCCAGGTAAAGACTACAGTTACAATACACAAAGCATTCTCACTAAATACTATAACAGAAAGATATCTTCAAAAAGCTCTACTCATGACTGAAAGAAATGCATTTCCC